GATTGTTAATGGCATTGAAAATCATAGCTTCGTTTGTCTTGTTTGTTTCCATAAACAAATTGATGCGGCTCTTCACATTTTTTTTTCTCTCTCCCAAGAAAAAATGGTCCATTATTGTTATTGTGTTTCGGGCAGAAAAAAAGAACCCTATGTGATGTTTTACTAAAATTCATATACCTATATCGCAAACCGAATAGTCAGTCAAACCAAAAAACAAACGTATTTTTATCGACATTTTCATTCGTTTTTCTCTGGTTCTGGTCCATTACATTGTGTAGTTAAATATTTTTTTCTGAATCGTTCGATTAATAAATTTTGTAGTGTAGAGTCTACATTGTAGACTTTTATAATAATGCCGATGGCATTTGTAATAATTGTCTTCTGTCGTATAGAAAAAAAAGACGTTGAAACATATCAATAAATTATTATTTTCCATAGGGAAGAAATGAAATCCAAAAAATTTAGGTATTGATTTTTTTTTTCTTACACAGGTATTCGCAGCTTTTCAACAACAACAAAAATTTTTCTTGTCGACAGTTATATGATAAGTTATGTTTTTTTTCTTTTGCCCCAATATTGTTTACATTGTGGTCACGAAACCTACAATATTTTTCAAAAGAGAGAGAGAGAGAGAGAGAGAGAGAGAGAGAGAGAGAGAGAAAAAGAAAGAAAATTCCATTTTCAAAATTGAATTGCCAAAAAGATTGTACTGAATATATTCTTCAATATAGAATATTCTTGTTTGAATCGATGAAATTCTGTGTGTGAGAGAAAAAAGATGATACAAGTATGAAAAAAAAATTTAAACATTTTTNCCATTTTGAAGATGCTAAAATCAAATAAATAAATAAAAATAATGGCCATCATCATCATCATAGTGTTGATGTGATTGTTAATGGCATTGAAAATCGTTTGTCTGTTTCCATAACAAATTGATGCGGCTCTTCACATTTTTTTTTCTCTCTCAAGAAAATGGTCCATTATTGTTATTGTGTTTCGGGCAGAAAAAAAACAACCCGATGTGATGTGATGTTTTACTAAAAATTCATATTATACCCACACACACATACCTATATCGCAAACCGAATAGTCAGCCAAAAAACAAACGTATTTTTTTTATCGACATTTTCTTTCGTTTTCCTTTGGTTCTGGTCCGTTACATTTTTGTTGAATCGTTCGATTAATAACTTGGTGTACTAAAGACTTTCATAAGAATGCCGATGGCATTTGTAATAATTGTCTTCTGTCGTATGAGAAAAAAAAGACGTTTGAAACATATATCAAATAAATTATTATTTTCCATAAGGAAGAAAAGAAATCCATAAAATTCCAAAGTATTGATTTTTCTTTTCTTACACAGGTATTCACAGCTTTTCAACAAAAAAAATATTTTCTTATCGACAGTTATGATAAGTTATGTTTTTCTTTTTCGCTCCAATATTGTTTACATTGTGGTCACGAAACCTACAATATTTTTCAAAAAGAGAGAGAGAGAGAGAGAAAAAATTCCATTTTCAAAATTGAATTGCCAAAAAGATTGTACTGAATATATTCTTTAGAATATTCTTGTTTGAATCGATGAAATTCTGTGAGAGAAAGAAGATGATACAAGTATGAAAAAAAAATTTAAACATTTTTTCTTTCTCTCCCAAAAATTCTGTTTCATTTGTAAGTGGGTGTTTGGTGTGTGTGTCGACCATTCATTTATCATTTTTTCAGGGAAAAAGTTTGGTTTTTTTATTCATTTCTGGTTTGCATTTTTTTGTTTGACATAACACATTTACAAGCTGTTTGCTGAGATGTTTTTTAGTTTTCTGGTTGTCTGGTTGGTAGACCAAACAAATGGCAGGTGTAAAAATAGCATCGCCTGTCAAGAAATTGCTGTATGTATATTCTGTATTGTTTCCCGAATATTTATGAGAGGCATTATTATTATTATTATTTATCCACTGAATAACCGAGAAAACATGAATAACAATAATGATAATGATGAAAAAGGATGTTCAGAATTTTAAAATTATATGTATTTTTTTTTTACTTTTTTTACTTTTTAACTGACTGTAACCAGAACAAAAAAAAACATTCAATTACGTTTTAATGATGATGATGATTGTGTGTTTGTATAGTGAATTTTTTCATATTATAAATGAAAAGGTTTTTGGGGAAATTTTTTTTGTTATTAAATTAAATTCATATATGAATAGTGTGTTGGTGAGGAAAGGGTTGTTTTGAAATAAATTTCACTTGACTAATAGAAATTAATGTCAGAATAGGAAGGTTTTTTTCGGTGAAAACGATGGAATAAGATTTAGAGAGATAGAACGTGGGTGTTAAATGTTTTTTTTCTTTTTTGAATTTATGTTTTTTCATTCGTTGGAATAATCAAATAGAAAATTTGTTTCAATTTTCTATAGCTGAATAGAAGGGAGATATTCAAGGTTGTGTCTATATTCATGAATTTTTTTTATCCACTCGGGAACCTGAATTTTTTTCGAAATATAACAAGAATATTCTGAACAAGAATAAATTGATTGACAGTGAATATATACAGAGTTTTTTTTCCTGTTTTTTCTCTGGAAAAAAGTCAAAGAAAAAAAACATTCTCATGAAAACATTCTCGATCGATAATATTAACAACATTGAAACATAGAATATTCTTTTTATTATAAGACAAATGATGAGAGAGTGAGAGAGGTAGACCAATGAAAAAATATAGATCAAAATAGATTTTTTTATTTTGTTTTGTTTTTTGATTAGATTAGATTTGGTTGTTGTTTGTTGTTTGTTGTCGTCATCATTTGCTTGTATTCTCATTTAGCTTTTTTTGTTGTTGTTAATATTCTTCGAATGAATAGACAAAAAAATAAAACAAGCCAAAAGTTTTTTTTTTGCTTGTTTGTTTTTGTTTGCTTGTTTGTTCGTCCCAACAGAAACAGAAACAAGGCTATTTTGTTTCTGGTTGTTGAATCTTTTTTTTTATTCGTATATTTGTATAATGAAAATAGCATCTTTGGAAGAAACAAAAAAATTCTCATTTCTTTCATTTTCTTTATCTTCAGGTAAGATAAGATAAGGTAGGTAGGTGGATTTTTTTCCCCAAACAAAACAAAATAATGAGATTTTTTTTCCAATTAATTTTTTCCATCTTATTACATTTCAATGTTAATGTTGATGTTGATGGCTTCTTTTTAACATCCGGTGAATGAAAAATTGATAATTTATGAGCTGAGTTCTTTTTTTGATTATTCTATGGAAATATATGGAGCAAGGAAAAAGGAATGGGAAACATTATTCCATTGAAACTTTGAACTTTGAAATTTTCTTTGTTTGTTTTCTCTCTCGATAAATGTATAGATTGAAAATTATCAATTATGATTATGGATGTTTTTGCATCTGTCATGACTTTTTTTTTGGTTCAAAATTCAATTTATTTTTTATGTCATGTCAGGTTTTTTGTTGTTGTTGTGGAAAAATTCCAAAAATAAACATTTCAATAAGAATTGAAATTTTTAAAACTTGAAACTTTAAAATTTCAATTTCTTTTGTTTTCTTATGTTATTTGAAACTTTTCATATTTTCAAATTTGAAAGATTTTTTGTTTTCAAAAAGAATCTCAAAGAAATTCTATTTTTTTGTTTTGTCAGAAGAAATTCTTTCAGCTCTGCCCGATGATCATCTGGTTCATGATGGCAGAAAACTTGGACATTTTTAGCATCATTTCATTCATTCATTTACCATTCAAACATTATTTCAAACATAATAATCTTCTTTTTTTCTGAGAAAACTGATATCATCATCTCTTTGTTGTTGTCAGAACTTTTCAATATCTGATGATCTTCATTAACTTTTTTTTTCGCACATCATATACAAAGAATCCTTTTTTGTTTTGTTTGGGAAAGAAGTTTATATTTGTTTTTTACACAGATAAACAAAAAAAAAAACAAACATTTTATTTTTATCGGCTCGAATCTATCTGCTTTTTTTGATTCTTTCGAGATAAAAACTTTTTTTTTGTTTTCTTGAAAAAACAAAAAAAAAAGTTTTCAGGACAATTCTTGATTCCAAACAAACCAACCAAGCAAAAAAGTCAATCCAATATGTAAACATTGTTTTAACAAACACTATTTGATTAGATAAACAAAAAAGACAATCAAATAAAATTCGTAGACTTGACTTTTCGTTCGTGGTTTTGCAAATTTGAATTTTTGTTTTTGAATTTGCGTATTTTTTTGTTTGTTTTGTTTCGCACTTCATTGAAATTCATTGAAATTCTTGATGAACTTTGATCTTAAATAATTTTTTTTTGTGGTAATGATTCTTATTTAATAAACTGAAATGATGGATAATAATAATAATGAACGTTTTTAAATGATTCTGTAAACACTACTCGTCTTTTTGTTTCTGGTTGTTGTTGTTGGCGAATATTAATGAAATTATGAAATTATTATTATTATTTTGTGTTACGTCAACAAATGAAAAAAAAATCATCGAACCAAAGAGAGAGAGAGAGATGTCAAAACTTTGTTGACAAATATTTATTCTTGTGTGTGTGAATGAGTGGTAGGAGGGGGGTTAAGACAGAAAGGAATTTCAATTATCATCATAATAATAATGATGATAAAAGACGAAAATTGATATCCTCATCATCATCATCGATATGATATGATTTATGATGAAAAATTTGCAATTTTAATCTTGAATTTCATTTCATTGTCAATCATATATCATATATGATTGGATTGGAATGTTGAAATCATTGAGATGATTATTATGATGATGATATTGATGATGAAAAAAAACGAGAACTCAAAACAGAATATTCTATTTTAGATTTTGAATTCTCCAAAATTAAAATCAAATCAAAATCTTATTCAATTTATTATTACAATATGATTATGATGATGATGTTTTTAATTCAATTTTTTTCCTATACTTTGTCTGTTGTCTGTTTTGTCAGAATTGTTCAAACGTAAATAGAGAAAAAATTTTGTTTTAAATTAAATTTTCGGTTCTGGATTCAATAATAATAATCGAAAGTGATCAAAACGTAGACGACGACGATAGTTACGAAGACGAAAATAGTGATACAAACAAAATTGAATCAAAAGTTTTTTTCGAAAATAATATCACTATTGACGTGGAAAGAGAAAATATTGAAACATCTGAAGCGTTATTATTATCATCGTACAAGGATAAAACTGTGAAGCAAGAAAAAAACCAACAGCCGCATCAAAAAAACGCATCAACAACACAATCATCCCGATCATCGAAAAAACAATCGACAACGGCTTGTTTATTGGCCGCATTTCGTGCCATTAGACGTAGTCAGAATAATAGTATTGGTAGCTGTAGTCGTTGTTTATCATTATTATCAACAATAGGTAGTATGTCGGCCGAAGTATCATCATTTTCAAAACGTGCAGCAGCTGAATTATCACGTTGTTTTAATGGTCTTTCTGTTTCATCATCATCCGCATCATCTTCGTCGACAACATCATCAAATACAACAACATCCGTTATTGGTCGAACTAAATCAACAACAACAACATTGAAAGAACAACAACAACAAAATGCAGCTAATAATAATAACAATAATCCACAACAACAACAAATGGGAACAACACAAACATTAAATTCCGTTTCCACATCCGCATCATCTACTTTAGCATCATCATCATCATCATCATCGTCAACCGGTGTGAATAGCGGATGTTCAGATGAACAGCAAAAAGTATCAACATCATCATCATCAACATCAACATTTGGTGCCCGTTCAGCTATCGGTGGTGCTTTTCGTGTATTTAAAAATAATAGTGAAAAAATATTATTATCACCATTGAAAAGTAAATTTTTATTCTTTAGTGTTATGTGTCTTCAATTTATTTTATTTTTTCGTTTTTTTTTCTGTGCAGGTAGTAAATCTTCAGGTAGTAGCAGTAGTCAGGTATCTACTGATAATGTTGATGCTACTACAAATCCAATGACGTTATTACATCAGCAACAACAACAGAATCAAACATTAATGACATCCGGTACATCGATGGCTATTAAATCAACGACAACATCTACTGCCGCATCATCATCATCATCATCATCGGCCAACATTCCACAACAACAACAAAGACGTTTATCACGTAATGGACCACCACCGAAAGCACCACCAAAAACACAACGAGCACGATTGAAAAATTATCTTTTAAATCTACGTAAACCGATAACATTATCGGAATTATTTTTAAATGTTGAATTTTTACGTGAACATTTTTTTCCAAAATGTTATCATCATTTATCATTATCATCATCATCATCATCATCAACAACAACTACAACATTATCATTGTCGAATGATTCGATAGCCGAATTTTGTCGTTTTTCACAGGTAAAGTATTTTTTTTTACACATAGAAAAAAAAGCTATAAAATTTTTTACATGAAAAACAAAGCGCATGGTCGATTTTTTCCCTTCTTTTTCTTCTCAATTGATAAATGATGATGGCCTTTTTTGTTTTGTATTGAAAAGATATTCTTCTATTAGCCAAAAAAAATGTAGTTTGAGGGAGAAAATAAAAACTCTTAAAGAAATTGATGTTTAGTAATCATTTTCAATTGTCCTTGTGAATATCAATATTATCATTCCATAGTTCCAATTTCTAACCGAAGCAAATATTTTCTCAATCTTTGATAAGATCACCAAAAATTATGGTCATCGATAAAATCGATTTATTGATTGATTTATTGATCGATTTTTTTCCCAAAATATTAAGGATATAAAGTTATTAATTCTTCATTTTTATATAAACATGATCAATGATACATTTGAGGACATTTTGAAATTTTCTGTTTTTTTTTATTTCACAACAGCGAAAAGGTTCAAAATCTCTTGAATTTCATTCATTTGATATTATGCTGGATTTAATCGAAAGAATTTTGCTGCTAAATTCTATCTATAGAACAGAATTCAAAAGTTTTCAATATATAATTAGTTTTCGGGTAAACATTCATTCCCAAAACTATCCGCGAAAAAAAAATTTTCACTTGAATAAACCCAAACAGAAATTTTTTCTGTTTGTTTGTTTAGTTTTTAGCTGAAATCGATGTGATAATCAAGTGTTTGTAGGATTTTATCTTTATCTTTTCGCACAGAATTTTTTTTCATTGTTTTTCCCTGATCACACCGATATATATTATCACGCAATTTTTCTATTTGATAAACAAAAAAAAAATGAAGATAAACAGTTGTTTATCGTTATAAACAATGAAATTCTTCAAGTTTAATGTGCCGTTGTTTTTGGTTATTGTTTTTTTCCAAGAAAATTTTTCGATTATAATAATAATTATTTAACGAAAAAAAATTTGTTTCATTTTAGCAACCTTATGGATGATGATGTAATGATGATGATGGTTTAGCAGTGTGAATTTCCAGGTTGAGATACACTGTACAATCATCCATATCAATATTGTTTGTGTACCACTTTAATGACAGAATTTTTTTGGAATCCGAAAAAAAAACAAACAAAATGATTTTGAAGTTGACTTTTTGTTTTCTCTTCTTTGACTCAGATTGATGATGAAATTTTTTTGGTGTTATCATTTTGTTTTTCCCCAAATGGATTCTGTTTGTTTGTTTGTCATTATTCAAGCATTATCAAAGAAAGAGAACACACTGAAAATAATAATCATTTGGTCATTTGATTCTGTTTGGTGTGATGTGTGTGTATGTGTAATTGTCATATACACATCACATCACATCACACACTAACATTAAGTGCTTTTCAAGTGCAAGTGTGCTTTTCACCACTTATCACTAAAAATGTTTTTGGATTTCACTGATTTCAATTCATCCGATTCTATCTGTAGGATCTAAATTGATTTGATTAAAAATGATTGTGATCCACGAAAACCAACCATCCACATTGTTAAATCAAGCAATATTTGGCAGTTTTTGAAGAAAACTTTATTAAATTCTTTCATTTTTTCTTTCATTCTCTGTTTTTGTTTTTATAGGTCTGTAAAACCTGGTGTCATATTATTTATATGGATAAAAATTATTGGCAAGATTTAATATTTACAATACATTATGGTGAATTAAGACAAATGGAAAAATTACAAAATGAACAACAACAACAACAACAACAGATTACCAATATTGATGATGATACAATAATGATGGAACAAAGTGCCAAATTATTTAAATATTCGCCACCATTACCACCACCACCGACACCTAAAAAATCATTAGATTTAAATAAATCAAATGTTTTTCATTTATTAAATTTCAATCAATCATCATCATCATTTGAATTGAATTCCGATCAAAATATTGTTGATAATAATAATGATTTAAAATTGGATAAAAAATCATCATCATCTTTAATGAATCCATTACGTAAACGTTTATATTATTCAATCAAATTAAGACAATTTCAACAAATTTGTTTAAAAAATCCAAGTGATAATGATCTAGTCGAATTGGTTAATTTTTTTAAACATTTTTATCAACAAAATGATGATGATAATAATAATAATAATCAAATGATTACGACAAATTCTAAGGAACAAGAACAACAACAACAACAAACAATCAATGATTCAATTATCAATCATATTATTATTCGTGATGGTACTATTACTGATAATGGTTTAGAAATTTTATTAACTACATTTGCCAAAACATTACATTCATTTGAATTGATTGGTAAGTTTGTTTTGGATTTTGTTTTTCATTCATTTTTTCATTAATGTTTTTGTCTTTTCAGGTTGTAACGAACTAAGTAATTCAGGTCTTTGGTCTGGTCTAGTACCAAAATTACGTTTATTAACCATACAAGATTGTATTAATATTTCTGATGATACTGTTACTATATTATGTCAACTATTAACATCATTGGAAATATTTCAATTTCAGGTTTGAATTTTTTTTCAAATATTTGAATCTATTTGATTCTGATTGATTTTTTGTTTTTTTTTTTTTTTGGATTTCATAGGCATATCATGTAACCGATATTGCAATGGCATATTTTAGTACATCATTAATACGTCATTCATTACGTATATTAACATTACAACATTGTTGGGAAATAACTAATCAAGGTGTTGCTAATATTGCACATTCATTACCAAATTTAACATCATTATCATTATCTGGTTGTTCAAAAGTAAATTATAATATTTGATTGATTTGTATTCGATTTGAATGATTAATCAAAAAAAAATATTATTCATTTATTACAGGTAACTGATGATGCAATCGAAGTTGTTGCCGAACAATTACGACAACTACAACAATTAGATTTAAGTTGGTGTCCAAGAATTAGTGATGCTGCATTAGAATTTATTGCCTGTGATTTAGCCGATACATTACAAACATTAGTATTGGATAGGTATGTTATATTATTGTTCTTCTTCTTTATATCATTATTATTTTTCTGGGAATTTTTCTTTTCTTGTGAAATCGATTGATCAATCGAGATTGAGGAAAGAATGATGAATTATTAAATTCTCATCATCATCATTACAACAGGGTGTGTGTGTGTGTGTCTTCGAAGAACTGGAATTCTTTCAATTCTTTTTTCTCCAGTTCTGTTCACCACCCAAACAATTAAAATTTCTTTTCTTTTCGTTTTTTTGCTTAGAACAAAAAAGAAAAAACTCTTACATAATTCATATGTCGCCAGGATCAAGATTTTTTTTTTTGCTGTGCTGGTTCAACATTCATTTAAGATCAAACATATTGATCCCTTTTTTTGTGATTCCAAGTGTTTTGGGTTGGATTTTTTCGTTTTCTTTTCGTTTTCCTTAATGTTTTTATTATTTTTTCAATCATTAATCCTATGTTTGAAAATAACGTGAAGAACAGAACAAAAAAAAACGCCCAAACAAAAATGTCTTTTGATCATCATCAGGGTAAATTGAAAGAATCCTTATAAACAGTATTTTGTTACTTGGAATTCTGCTCTGCTTGCAAAGATTAATTTTATTTCAATTTTTTTTTCTTTCTTCTTCTTCTTACTACTTAAAAGAATCTTAACAAGAACATTTTCTTTCTTTGAAAAATTCTTTCTTGTTGTTGTTGTTTTTGTTATTATTGTATCAATTTTGCTTCTATTTCTGTTTTAGATACTTTTTTTTTGGTTTCTCGATATGATTGATTGAATTGTTTTCAGTTTTTTTGTTTTTGTTTTTGTTTTTAGAGCATCCTGTTTTTTTTAAATATTAATAATTCATATGATAATCGATTGAATTAACATATATCGATTGTAATGATGAAAAAGTTTTGGCTGACCGTTTTGTGAAACAAAAAAAAACTTAAGGGCCAGGCAATATCTACAGAGTTAAAAAGGCTCTTATTTTTCTCAAATAACCTTAAGAAATTAAGATTTTGAATTTCCTGTTTTTGTTTTTATTTTCCTGATTGGCTATCCATTTTGGAAGAGAGAAACCAGATTAAAATATTTTTTGTTCAAATATTAGCGACAGGTTTTAATAATGTTTAGCTTTTAATAAATGTAATAATAATAATAATCATTGACTAACCGAATTTGATTTGATTTTTTTCATTTGTAATTTCCGATTTGCCTTTGGACATTTTGTTTTTTCATTTTCATCGTTGATGATGATGATGATTAAGCCTTGAGCTAATTGCTTGATCAGACAATTTTCATTAGCCAGAAAATAATAATTTGTAATGACGGTGTTGACCTGTGATCTGTTCATTTCGAAAAAAAAGCATTTTGTTCACACAACACTGTTTCAATCAATCAATCAGAGATGTTTTCATTTTTCACTTATAACCTTTTGAATCATGAAAATTTCTTCTTTTCGGATTTGTAATTTTCACTTTTAATTTTGTTGTTGTTGCTGTTGTTGTTCATGTTGAAATTAATTAACCTCGAATCGTGTAAATAATAATAATAATAATAATAATTTATGTTTAGTTTGTTTTGGCTGTTTATTCTTTGACAACTTTTTGATCAGACAAATTTGTTTCCATTTTAAATAATGATATGGTGGCAGCCGCAAATTTGCATAAATTTGCATGCATTTTTGTTTGCCTATTTATGAAAAAAAATCAAAACATTTTTTCTGTTCGTCCAACAAATCGATGATCGATCAATCGATTTTTGTTGTTGTTGTTGACGTTGACAATCGATTATTATGATAAATTGTATTTTAATGATGATGATGATGGTTTAAACATCATCATCATTAGGAACTATTATGAAAGAAAAATCGGGAAAAAATATTCAAATTAAACCAAACCTGCACAATAAAAGATGTTTTCAATCAGCAAACCAAACTAAAATAACCATAAATTGATTCAGAAAAGAAAAAATTATTCATCATCATTATTATTATCATAATAAACACACAATAACAACATAATAACCTTATTTGGTTTGAATATCCTATGTGTGTGTGTAAGTGTGTGTTAAAAACATCCTTGTTCCTGGAATTATTTGTTGTCTAAGTTATTAGTAGAGGGGAATAAAAAATATGATTCAAATTCAAATTTAACCCTTAATAATTTATAACAAATTAGTTGTCGATTTTCTAGTCTAGTCTATTTTTTCGGGAAAAAGGTAAAATTTTTGGGCCCGGTATGAATTTTTTTCTCTTGATGAATTCATTTATATTGACGAACATCAACAACAACAAATGGATTGATTTCGACCCAAACATAGACTTTGATGATGATGATGATTATGATTATCAACAACTTTTTGGTTGATTGGTGATGTTTTTTCTTTCCGTTTTTTCTTGATTATGATGATGATGATGAAGATAATAATCTTCCTGATTGCCTTCTTTTTTTTTGCTTCAAATTTTCTTTCCGTTTACGGTTGTTGTTGTTGAAATTTTCTTTTTTTTAAAAGAAAAAATACTTATTTTTAGGCTATGTGTTTGAACATCAATCACCCAACACACACACACAAATTACATGGATTATGATACATTTCTTTTGTTTTTTCTTTTTTTCTTTACTCCAATTTCACACACATATACAGATGTCTTCATGTAACCGATATTGGTTTAGGATATTTAGCTACAATGGCTAATCTACAACATTTATCAGTACGTTGGTGTCCACAGATTCGTGATTTTGGTTTGCAAGCATTAACATCATTACGATCATTACGTACATTATCTATTGCAGGTATGTTGTTGTTGTTGATCATGATTATCTTGATCAGGGAACATTTTATTTATAAACATTATATATTTTCTTTTTGCTAACTTAATGTGTTTGTCTTGTTTTTTTTCATTTCTTTTACTTTTTTTTTACTTTGCTAACTTTTGCTGATTTTGGGAATGGACAACAAAAATGATGGAAAAAAAGGTTGCTCACATGTAACCATAACTGGAATGTCATTCATAACACGTATGAGACAATTAGAAGAAATTGAATTAACAAATTGTCCAGCAGCAACTAAAGATTTAATAAAATATTTATCCGAAAGTATGCCCGAAACATGTACAATTATTACCTGATAGAAATAATCAAAAACAACCAACCAACCACCAACATCATCATTATCAACACACCTTTGCAAATGTCATCTACCTCGAACACTTTGTTGAATTTTTTTTCCTTCTCATTTCTCTCTCTCTCTACTTCAAATCAAAATCATCAAGCAAATTTCCGACTATTTCATCAATCAGCTGCTATCAATAACATCTGGTCCGAAAAAAAACTACTGAACCACCGCTACTACCAATATTTATATATATCAAATGTTCAATATTTAGATATTTTTTTTTCTCATTCATTCAAAAACTTTTTCTGATTCCTGATTCCATTTTCATTATTATTATTCTTCGTTAATTTTCTTCGTTTATTAATCCTCTCTCTTATCACATTATTTTGTTTCAATCAAACAAAATCCCATTGCCATAAATATGATATGTATATCATATCATCGCATATATGAAACAAAGACAAACACACACACAGTCAGTCATATTTCATTTTTATTTTCATTTTCACACACACACTGTGAGAAATGGATTTAAAAGCGGCAGCAGCAGCTTATTTATTTATTATATAATTACTAAATATTATTATATTCCCCTTTTAATTTAAAAATAGCTTTATATATTTTTTCATTTATAAAAAAAATTCTACTTATTAATTAATTAATGATTAATAATGATAAATTTGATTCGCGGTCAATTTTTTCTTCCCCTTTCTTTCTTCTTTCAGCTATTCATCATTCAGATTATACCCTTTTTTTTCCATTGATTTTTTTGTTATATGATCGTATCACCCATACATTACCCTAATTACATTACCTATATATTCTCCCAGAATATTTAAAAAATCAAATTCAAATAATAAATGTCCGAGCGAACAAATGTCTATTTTTTTGTCACTTTAAATTATTTAAAAAAAAAATTATAATAAAGTAATTATTATCACTTTTAAATTATAAAAAAAAATTTTGTAATGATTTTTATTACTGTTACTGTTTTTTTAAAGTGGAACACTTTACTTTAGGATGACAATCATCAGTTGTTGTTGTCCAGCAACTGTGTGAATACGTAAACTACGATGAAAAACATTTTAAAAAAATTTATTCAAAGAAAAACGAAAGAAAGAAAGGTCACCATCATCAACCACACTTTGATTATCAAAAAGTTTATCAAGAAAAAAAATTTTAAAATTTTAAAATTTTTCGCAACATAAACTTGACTGACTTGGTTTTTGTTTCTATGTTTTCGGTCAAATTTTATGTTGTTGTTGTTGTTGTCCAGATCAGATCAACGAAAACGAAAAACCAATAAAATGATCATCAATTTAATGATAAATACAGTGTGTTCCAGGAACACAAAAAAAAAGAAAAGAAATAAAGTTGTTTGTTGCTGCGGTGTTTGTTTTTTCTTGTTTCGTTGAAACCCAGCAACAACAACAACCATTATGATTATGTAATTTTACATTCTAATTAGACTTTTCGATGAAGATTTTGTTTGCTTGTTTTGTTTTTCAATTTTTCAAAATTCACACAACAAAAATGATCGGGAAAACAATGATTAGAATCAGAAAAGTCATTATGACAGACCAAAATCATCCTCACTAATTAACCCTTTTTTTCGTTGCCTAAATTTTTAAATTCAAAAATTTATTACAATTTCGTTTTTTTACGCGTGTTTTTTCTTCTGGAAAACCGAACAAAGAAAAAAAAGGAAATGAAAACGCGCGTGTGTTCAAGAGACCGGTAAAGACATTATCATTATTTTCTTTTCTTCTTTGCGAAAACGTAATTCTTCTTCGTTTTTTTTCGGGAAAAAAAAGTGCACCAAAAATGAAATGAAAGGAAAATCATTACTGACTAAATATGTTTTACATTTGTTTGTGTGGGAACCACACAAAAATCATCATCATCAGCTTTAAGAAGGAAAATTGATGATAACGAAGCCAATTTTGAATCTTTATGGTTGTTTTTTGTTTGTTTGAAAACAAGAAAAACCATAACGGAAATGTTGATGATTATGATTATGATGGATATTTTTTTCCTTTTTACAGAACATCATTAGGCTTTTATATCTGTAAAGATATATAATTTGATTCATAAATGACTGGCTATTTAACCCTTTTTTAAAAAATAAATAATTAATTAGAGTTAATGATATACCCGAAAAAACAAAAACCAACAAACCAAAACACAACCACAACTTTACTTTTACTTATTTTAGTAATCAATTGAAATGGTGATGGGAGAAAAACGTGATGATCGGAAGAAGAAAAAATTTCAAAAACATTCACTGACTGAATGACTGACTGAATAGTGAAGTGTTTGTTTGAACCAAAAAAATTTAAATAAAAAAATTTATTTAATAAACAAAAAAATTATGATAATTAAAATGACAAATAATTAATTAATTAAAAACAACGATGAAAAAATTATAATTATAATAATAATAAACAAGAAATTTGAGGAAAATTGATTAGGAAGAAATGAAATGAAAAAAAAAACGGAAATGTTGTTTGATCGATTGATGAGGATGATGATTATGTTGATGATTATGATGATGATGATAACAGGTGATTATTTTTTAAATGGTGAGCTTTGATTGAATTTCTTCTTCGTTTGTGTTGTTTTCCCTTTAGGTCAGGANTTTTTTCTTGTTTCGTTGAAACCCAGCAACAACAACAACCATTATGATTATGTAATTTTACATTCTAATTAGGCTTTTCGATGAAGATTTTGTTTGCTTGTTTTGTTTTTCAATTTTTCAATTTTTCAAAATTCAAATTCACATAGCAAAAATGATCGGGAAAACAATGATGATTAGAATCAGAAAAGTCATTATGACAGACCAAAATCATCCTCATTCACACTAATTAACCCTTTTTTGTTGCCTAAATTTTTAAATTTCAAAAATTTACAATAAAAAAAGAACGCGTGTTTTTTCTTCTGGAAAACCAAACAGAAAAAAGGAAATGAAAACGCGTGTGTTCAAGAGACCGGTAAAGACATTATTTTTTCTTCTTTCGAAAAGGTAATTCTTCTTCTTCGTTTTTTTTTCGGGAAAAAAAAGTGCACCAAAAATGAAATGAAAATCATTACTGACTAAATATGTTTTACATTTGTTTGTGTGGGAACAACACAAAAAAATCATCATCATAATCATCAGCTTTAAGAAGGAAAATTGATGATAACGAAGCCAATATTTATGGTTGTTTTTCTTGTGTGTGTGTGTGTGTGTGTATGTGTGGTTTGAAAACAAGAAAAACCATAACGGAAATATTTATAATGGATTTTTTTCCCTTTACACAGAACATCATTAGGCTTTTCAAAAATAAATATCTAAACAGAGATAATTGGATTCAAAAATGGAGGTTTTTTTCCTCGGCTTTTTAACCCTTTTAAGCTATATATAATTAATTAGTGTTAATGATATACCCCAGAAAAAGAAAACAAACCAAGAACCAAATCGAGCCAAACAAACAAACAAACATTATCAATTGAAAAGCAAAGCAAAGAAATGATAGGGGAAAAAACGTGATCAAGGTATTGGTCGGAAGAAGAAGAAAATTTTCGAAAATTTTTTGAAAAATTTTTCGTTTTTCAATCACAAAAAGACATATATTGACTGAATGACTGACTGAATGAATGGTGAAGTGCTTGTTTGAACAAAAAAAAATTTAAATAAAAAAAAATTTATTTAATAAACAAAAAAAATTATAATTAAAAATGACAAATAATTAATTAATTAAAACAAAGATGAAAAAATTATAATTATAATAATAATAAACAAGAAATTTGAGGAAAATTGATTAGGAAGAAATGAAATGAAAAAAAAAACGGAAATGTTGTTTGATCGATTGATGAGGATGATGATTATGATGATGATGATGATGATAACAGGTGATTATTATTTAAATGGTGAGCTTTGATTGAATTTCTTCTTCGTTTGTTCATTTTTTCCATTAGGTCAGGATAAACACGTGCTCCCATGTTTCTTTTTCTTTTCTGTTTTTTCTTTCCGTTTGACACAAGACACACATCCACAGACGTACACGATTTGTTTTTTTGCTGATTTGATTTGACGCATCAATATGATCGACATTTTGATGAAAAAATACAGGTGTATATGCGTGTGTGTGTGGTGTGGGTGGATTGTTTGAGATGATGTTTAGTTATTGAATTTGAGATATGAAATGGTTTTTTTTGTATGTTTTATCTTTGGATTCAGGTGAACATTTTTCTGTTTTTTTGGTTTTACCATTTTTTGTTTGTTTGTTGACCGAAAGACCGAAAAATCTTATGTTTGTTTTTTTTCAAAGTTATTAATAACCACCACCATAACCACCACCAGCCATTGCTGCAGCACCTTTATATGGTTTTGGATAGCCACCACCACCTTTTCCACCTCCTCCACCACCACCACTTCCATAACCTCCACCACCACCACCATAGCCGCCGCCACCACCACCACCACCATGACCACCACCGCCATAGCCTCCACCGCCACCTCCGTAGCCTATCAATCACATACATTGATGAATAACATTGAAAAAACATTGAAAAAAATAATGATTTATTGAAACTTACCACCACCGCCTCCGCCACCACCACCATAACCTTCACCACCCCCGTATCCTGCACCTTTATGTACCAATGTAAGTACTTCTTCATGAACTGGTTTAATTGTTTGTACAACTTTACGATATGGTTTAATAACTTCACGAACTTCTTGTACAATTGGTTTGGTAACTTCATGTACCAATTTATGTGGTTCATCATATGAATATGATTTTTGATATGAACCACTCATACCATAATGTTGTTGTTTAACATAAACAGGTGATGATTGTGATTGAAAATTAATATAAACAGGTAATGCACCACCAGGTACATCAATATATGTTGGTGCACCATAGCCTTTTTTACTTGGCACTGGTATAACATCTACTTTATGATTGGAATAGATTGCTGCTTCAATTGAACCATATCCACCGTATCCACCACCTCCGCCTCCTCCACCGCCGCCACCATATCCACCTCCGCCACCACCACCATAACTTGCACTACACAGCACAACAGCTGTGGATAAGATAAAGAACTGAATCCGGAAAAAAATAAGAATGAAAATCACTTGATCAATTAGTAATCTTGAAGGTCGAATGTTTTCAATTGAACTCACCTTGAGCATTTTTGAATGATTTATTTATAAATGGATCAATATCAAATGGTGATTGACAAATAAAATCACCAAAAAATAACAATCTAATTATGACAAAATTAAAGTTGACCAGAAAAAAAGAAACGAAAAAGAAAACAAAAAAAAACAACACGGTTATTAATAATGGAAAAAATATCGATGAAAACACACAAAGTGAAAACACTGAAAATAAATTGATGGCTGATTGATATAAACACACTTTGATTTTTTTGTTTTTGCTGGAAAACACACTTTACCTTTTATTTTTTATTTGTTTGAAGATTGAAAGAATTATCTATCTTCAAATATTGTGATGATGATTTTGTTCAACTAAAGATCCTGGAACTCCTTTTTATATACCATCACAAAATCGGATCATCAGAAAAACAGAAAATTGTTTTCTCGTTTCCACTTGTCACTGTGAAACAAAACATGATCCACCAGCCCAAAAAAAAGAGTGCATCATTATGATTTGGACAAACAAACAAACAAAACAGAAAAAAAAGAGAGCAATTTAGACCTATCTATCTCTCTATACTTTTTTTCGTTTGAATTCATTGATTGTCCCGTTAGCTATACAGTGTTCCATAATGATTTCCAAAAAAAAAAAGAAATTAAAAAAAACAACCGAGTTGAACAGAGTTCAAATAGTCGTCGTCGTTTAGGCAAAAAACGCGTGCATCCATAGAGAAAGAGATATATATTATACGCATCAAATAGGAAAAATAAAGATGGAAATTGAGAGAACGAAATTTCCAAACGGGCGACAAAAATATTTAAAAAAAACCATCATCTAATATTACTACGTGCGTTTCATCGATGATTTCATTTTCTTGTTTGATGCGGCAACATGGTAATCAACATCTCGATCGATCGATCGATTCATCTATCGATGATCGGTAACATAACCGAAAGGTGAAAAAAAAGTTTGGAAGTAAAAATGGCTTACTTTTTTTTTGGCTAAATCCGAATGGTCATTAATTAAAATATGATGATAATAATAAGGAACAAACAAGAAAAAAAAACATTTTCTCTATTTTGAAATGATGGTTAGGTTAAAACAGGATGGAAATGAACATTTGTAAATTTTGGATTTGGATTAACACACACACACCAAATACAAATATTTCGTGATTTCCGATATGATCATCATGATGATGAGCATCATGATGATGATCATGATCATAATGTGATTATTATCTCATCATCATCATCATCATCAATTGAACATGGCTCATTTCAAACCGTATAACCAAACAAATCATCATTTCTGGCGCCTCTAATATTTTGTTCATTTTACAAATAACAATAGCAACTCAAGCAACAACAGGCGATATCTATAGATAAGCTATCGATCCTGTCGCTAATCTGATTAGATACATTGTTTTTTGTTGTTGTTTTCCAATCTGAAATCGATCGATCAACGATGGATACATTGTGGATGGATTTCTTCATTTTGATTTTCTTCTTCTTGGAATCATCATCATTTGATGACGATGACCACATGGATCATTTTTTGGACAAAACATTTTGTCAAACAAAATGATGATGAACTTGGTTTCATTTTCTTCAACTGATGATATTGATCTAATAAAAATGGCAATGCTGTTGTCAATGATGAATTTATTGTTGTAACACTTTTCTTCTTCTTCTTTTTCTTCTTCTCTAAATGATAACTATGATGATGAACTTGATTTGACATTCATGGTTGTTTATGTAATATGTACTTTTTTTTTAAACTCAAAAACACTGTGAACTTATTATTAGGAATGACACCTTTTTTGTTGGAAAAAAAAGTTTTGAAAGAACGAATTTTCAATGTGTTTCATTAACACATCATCATATCATGTTTCACAAATGATTTTCATCATCATTATCGTCGTCGTCGTTTGTTCGTTATTTAGATCAGAATTTTTCTTTTTTTAAATCATATCATTTCAAAGAGAGAGAGAGAGAGAGAGAGAGAGAGAGAGAGATTCACTTAAAATTTGGAGAATTCAATTCAATTTAAATGTCATTTTTTTTTCTTAAACAAATCGACCTCGAAAATTTTTTATTTTTCTTGCTAAAATCCATAATCATCATCATTTGATGATGATAATGATGGATAAACACTTTGCATTTTGTTTTTGTTTTTGTTTTTTGCTTTTTGTTTTTCACAGATAATTTCTATGACACTTTTGTCCCAAAAAAAACAGAACAGAACACTTTCATTTTTTTTAAATATAAACAACTAAACGAGAACACTTATTACTTGTAATTCAAACATATAAATATTGTTCCAATGAAAAAAAAACATTATGAAAAAAATTAATTAATATGCATGTGTCCATCATCATCATCATCATCATTATCATCAGTTTTTGAATTTTTAAAGTCAAAAAATGAAATATGATCTTTTAAACTTTTTGTTTGTTTGTTAAAATCATCAATTATTATGTAACATTTGATCCGATTTTTCGCTGTTGGTCAGTAAAAGAAAAAACAATGTTTTTTTTCCTTTCTTTTCTTTTGTTGAATGGACTGTTTTTGATTGATAGCCTTGTTGTTGTTGTTGGAAACAGAAGCGCTTTTTTTTCGGGTAACATCACTTGTTGATGAAAGTAGCAAACAAAAAGTGACAGGAAACTTTTCTTCGGGCAATTTCAATATCGAAGCCGAAACAAAAGAGAAAGAGATATGGCGAGCTGGAAAAAATCGATTCGATATTCATTTGGGTAAAGGAAAAAATTTCCCGAAAAATTTCTCCAAATTGAGTTATTACTTGCATCAAAAAAACAAAAACAAAATAACCGGATTATGTCAATCACCGAAATGAAATGATAATCCTAACCTCTCAACAGCAACGAATTTTTGTTTTTTCTTTGTTGTTGAACTGATTATTATAACATTTTTGACTAATAATAATAATAATAATAAGATGACTAAGATAATAACTACATTATTATTATTATATGGATTTTTTGTGGAAATAATGTCGAAATAGCCGCTCCAAAAGTAATGTAATTTTGACTTTTCCCCCACTTTGTATGTAATGAATTTGCATCCTATGTGTATTGATCGATCCTGATTCGAAAAAAAAATGTTAATAACATTTTTGACCTGTCCTGTGTTCTGTTTTTCATTTTCATTATTATTATTATTAATTTTGAAACGGGAAAAATTTTTTTCCTTTTCTTTTGATTAGTATGTGTTGAATGTTTGTTTGTTTGAAATAATTATTATACAATAATCTTATTGTATTTTGGATCGAAAAGCAAGCTCGAAATGTTTGCTTGGTTTTTACATTTCTGAATAATTTTGCTATTTGTGATTGAAAAATCAATCAACAACAAAGACCACACATGCATCACGTGTTTATCGTTTTTTGATTTTTGATTTTTTTTTGATTGGAAATTTGAATAAAAAATGGTCTGCATGCATGGTTGATGAAAAATGAATTAATCAAACCGAAAAACAAAATCGAAAAAAATCAATCATATCAATAGGCTATTCATCAACAATGTTTCCAATAGATAATGATTACTGCTGCTGATACTGATAATCTTTTTTTTTTTTGTTTTTGTTACGTTCATCTACTTTTCCGGAAATATTTCCCAAAACAAAACTATTCAATTATAACACAATGATGATGATATAATCAAGAAAAAATGTTTTTATTTTTTTTTTGTTTTTTGTAAATGTTGTAATCATCATTCATCATTATGGATGGTGGTGATGATTAGTTGCATCAAAAAAAAAAAAACAGGTGTGTCAGCAGGTTGAGATTGAAGGGGGAGGGGGAAAAAAAGATTCACACCTTAACCCCAACACACACACACACTATTATAATGAATAATTTAGTTACGAAATCTGTTTCACTGTAACAGTAATACCTTCACCAACGGATGTAGTAAATCCTTCTTGTTTAGGTGTAACAGATATTGTTCCTCCTGATGCTGCTGTTGCTGATCCTGGTGGTGCTGAAATTTTTGATCCTGCTACTACTGATACTGTTGGTGGTTGTTGTTGTGATGGTGGTGGTGGTTGTGATTGAGAAGGAGGACCATTAGAACCAGGAGCAGGACAAGTACTTTTACCACCCGTAAGTGTTGATCCTGAATTAGGTGTTATTGATGTTGTTGATGTTGGTGTTGTTGATACTGATACTGATGCTTCAGTTTTGGACATTAATTTACCAGATTGTTGATCTAATGCTCCTGGTCCAGTTCCGGCTGTTTGTCCTTTACCATCTACGGCTGTTTTTGCTGCTCCAGCTGCTGCTCCTGGTTTAGGTTTTTTTGAATGTGTTTTCCAAACAATACCGATAATAAGTAATAATGCAGCACCCATAATAATAGCTATTAAAATTCTAATATCAAATCCACCATTAGTATCATTATTATGATTATCATGTTTTTTATCATCATCATCATCATCATTTGGAAAATCATTTGGATTTATTGGTATAAATGATGTTACAAGTTCTGGATTTGTGCTATTTTCTTCGAAAAACATAAATGATTTTAGATCATTCATTGAAGGTGGCATTTTTTTTAAAATTTGGTAGATGGCAAATAAGTGATAAAACAAAAGTAAAAGTAAAAGTAAAATTCAAAAAACACAATCAAAAAAAAAAATACAGCAACAAAAATCGATTGAATAATATTAAAATGAATGAAAATTTATTTCATTTTAAATAGTAAAAAGTCTTTTCAAAAATTCATAATTGTTTCAATTAATTTGATTTTGGAAAATTCGTAATTCAGAATTTCTGCTGAATCATGTTTTTGTTGTTCCGGAATTTCATTAAAAAAATTCTCGAAACTTCCAATCCAAAATCAACAGTTTTTTCCTTCCTTTGATTTCCAAAACTTGTTGATAATTGGGCTGGAAAATGCGAAATTTCCAAAACTTATCCAAATCGATAATTGCTTACGATTGTCCAACGTGTTTTTCATCTAAATCAGAAATTGATCACATGTCATTTCCCCAACAACAACAACAACAAGTTTGGTGTGAATGAAAAATCATTTATTTATCGTAAATTATTTATCGTAATCGTCTAAATTTAACTCACAGCCAAAACTGAAGAAGAAAAAAAAACTGATTCATTTGGGAAAAAAAAGTAATATTACACACCAGCAAACACACACACAAACATTTTCAATGGATGGATAATCTGATCTGGATGTCTTTTTACTTTTACTTTTCTTTCTATCTTAAATCCCAGTCAACAACAAATTTCCTATTTTTGATAATAATTCTACAATTTTTTTTTTCTAATTTTGGATTTCATCACCCAAAAAAAATGAAAATAATTGGAGTGGATCATCATTAAAGCCGCCGGGCTACCGGCTAGTTAATGTCGGTTTTTTTTTTCTTTCTGTTGGATAAAAAAAACTTTTCACTAAAAATAGTTTTTTAGTTTTGATTGGTTTTTGGTGATAATCATCCGCATCCGGATGATGTGATAATTTTAATTTATCCCTTGGATTTTTTTGAAATTTTTTTAAAAGTTTTTTAAAAGCAAAAAATAATTTTTTATTTTTTTTCTATTATAACCCCGCGTTTTTGAGCAAGTTTTGTTTTGTTTTAGATGATGATGATTATTGTTTGTTTGTTTGGTTTGTTTTGTTTGGATTGATTCATTCATTTAGATTGTGTTGTTGGTGATGTTGAATTATGATTATTATCATCCATTATATTTGCCGGTTGATTTAATTGTTTTGTTGATAATAATGATTGATCTGTATTTAAATGTTGATGAAGTATATCGGCTAATGGATTACCACCACCACCAGCAGCAGCAGCAGCACCTCCACCACCACCACTACCACCAGGGTTACCTGTACCAGCACTAACACTTTTACTATTATCATCATCAGGTTGATTAGCCATTGCTTGTATACGATTCATTAATGATTTACGATATTTTGCTGCTTTTGTTGCTGAATATGATATTGATTTTTCTGATACGGATTGTTCTTCAACTGGTTCCGGTTGTTGTTGCATAAAACGTAATGTTGGTGATTTAATTTCATGTGACATTGTCCAATCATAAACACGATCATTCATTTCTAATGCATATTCTCTTGCTAATAATTGAAAAAATGGTGTCAATAAATTACTATAACTTGGTCGTTCTTCAAAATGTAATGAACGAATTGATTGTAATAATAATGTATATTCCATTGGCATATCTGAACATAATGTTGGTATCGGTGTATTAGCTTTACATTCACCAATCATACGATAACGTTCAATAATTGTATTTGCTGTTATACCTTGCCATGGTAATCTACCTTTATAAAAATAAATTAACATATAAACTAATGCTTCCAGATCATCACGACGTGATTGTTCACGACCCATATTATTATTAATACTCATATATCGTACAGTACCGGTAAATGGTTTATTTTCTTGATAAACAATATGTGAACCATCTTCCCGGCGCCATTCTTTACAAAAACCTAAATCAATAACATGTATTATCCACCATTTTCCGGTATTTGGTTGTCCAAGTAAAAAATTTGCTGGTTTTGTATCACGATAAAGTATACCTGATTCATGTATACCACGATATAAATGTATCATTTGTATTGTCATTTGTATAACTGTACGTAATGAAAAACGTCCACCACAATTTTCATGCATTTTTTCTAAACTTGGTCCCAGTAATTCCATAACTAATGCATTCCAACGGCCATCTTCAATCGGTCCAAATGTATAGATTTTTGGTACCCCACGTGGTAATCTAGTTAATTTTTTATAAAAACGATATTCTAAAAATAATTGTGGTTTATCACAATCACCACGTTCAATTTTTATTGCAACAGTAACACGTGAATCACGATGTTGTCCAAGATAAAGATTACCAAATGAACCACCACCAAGATATTTAACAGCCATATATTTGGAATTACCAACATATTTTCCAATCAATGATTCAGTATCAGATTGATTTTTACCCGTTTCGGTTGTATTAGCTGCTGCTGCTGGTGATGCTGCTTTTCCTGTTTGACGGCTACGTTGTCTTGGATTTTTATTATATTTTTGATAATATTCATATAAAAAATCAATATTTGTTTCTTGTGGTTGTGGTAATTTTCTTATCGAAAAACCTGATGTTGTTGATGATTGACGTCGTTTACTATGAAGTCGGTTTGGTTTCATTTTTTTAAAAAATTTAAATTTTCTGTGTTTTCAACCACCCAGACGACAAAATTTCAAACAACAACGAACAAAAACAAATCGTTTTTAAATGAAAAATCTAGATTTTTTCAAAAATCGAATTTGCTTGCCTCGATTTGATGAAATTAAATAAAAATTTTTAATTCAATCAGGAAATGTCGTTTGTAAGTTGGCTATTTTTGGAAACTTTCCCTTTTTTTGAGGAGGGGAAAAAATAAATCGTTTTCCGTGGAAACTTTTTCTGGATACAGTGAAAAATCATCAAGATAAATCTGCCAAAAAAAACAAAATGTTATTACATTCAACTCTTTTATGACAAAATTTTTGTTTCAGGTTAAGGTCACACAAATATCACATCAAATAATCCATCATATCCAAAAATTTTCTGTGAAACTTTCTGAAAAGTTTTTTTCTGGGAATTTTCTTTTCGCATACGAAAAAAGACAAAAAAAACGAAAGAAAACTTCCCGTCAATCTTTCATCAATCGATTTTTTCTGTTTTGTTTCGTTTCTTGATTCATAATTAAAAAAAACAACGAACGAACGAAATTAATTCAAAGTTCATCTTCATGATGATGATCGAAATCGATATTGATATCGTTTTTTCTGGATTAAAATATATGTGTGGCTTGACTATGTGTTTCCATCATCAGATCATCACTGATATTTATCTGAAAAAGAAAAAAAATTAATAATTTTTCCATGTCACGATTATCGTTATCCTCGTTGTTGATTGTTTTGTTTTGTTGTAAATCAACATTAAATGTCAACGCAATTCGAGATCAACATTTACGTTCAAAAACAAAAAAAAATTGATTTTCAAATCTCATCAGGATCAACCACTTTATCAATCTGATCAAAACTGGAAAAAAAAGATTTGATATTTGTTTGTTTGTTTGTTCGTGATTTGTTTTTTTACAAAATTTTCGATTAATGTTCTTTTTCGTTGTTGAAAATTCATTGAAATCTGTGTTTGTCGACGAAAATTAATTGATTACTTGATTGTTGTTGTTGTTGTTGCTGCTGCTGCACCCAAAACGCGTATTTTTTCTCCCTTGTTTACATCCGATCATTAAAAAATCAATCTGGATTCGAATGTTCGATAAAACGGTAGCAGCTGTTGAAAAAATTTGAAATGAATTTGTTCAAAATTGGTTATTCGACAAACAGAAAAATCATGATCTGACCATCCCCGAAAATCAAATTGAAAAAATAATTTTTGATTTTGATTTTTGATCGTCGTTATCTGAAATCACGAATTGGTTATAGTTTTTTTTTGATCGATAATCGATGATGAACTTGATGGTCGCCCAATCAACAGCAACAGCAAAAAAAAGATTCCGGAAATGTTTTTTTTTCGTTAATCATCATTGGATGGAAAGTTTTTCGGAAAAATTTACCAGAGAAAATGTTGGACACTTCTGGATTTTTTTTCGAACAGCAAAAAGTGTGATTTTATTCATATCCGAAAAAAAATCAAAGTATCGCGATACAATCGATACTTTTTCGATATCATTATAATTTAATTGTTGAAAAAAAATAATTTAATTTCAACATTCGACGATTAGGAGCAAATTAGAAGCGATTAAATTTGCCAAAATATAATTCCATCATCATCAGCTTGAGGCGATCGATTTCAAATCAGAAATTATTTTTATATCCAACCAATCATAATTCAAAAATTACCTTTTAATTGTATTCACACATTCCGAAAATCGAATCAGATCAATAAACGAAGGAGTGAGTGAGTGATGGCGGTAACACTTTTTCTTTTCCATTTGGACAATCGTTTGATATAATCGATACAATCGATTTCCTTTTTTCTCCTGATGATGACAACTTGATCATTATGATGATAATGGTGGTTGATTAAGGAAATAATCATAATAATGATAATGCTTCAAGGCTTTTTTTAACCATCTTTTTTTAATGATAATTATTTTGGATTCACCACAACCATTGTTTGTTTTCATATATGAATTACCTTTTTTTGGTGAAAGGTGAGATTTTTGATTGATTTAATTACAAACAAAATGATTTTTTTTTTCGGGATGAATTTTTGGTTTCAGGGTTTATTCTCAATAGACCAATCAGTCAGACAGACAGACAGACAATCATCATCTTTGAAACCGGATTTTATTGATGATCAATCGCAATCGATCAATTTCAAAAATTTGATCAAAAATATTGTCACAATATTTGCATTGTCAATTTGATAATAACATAGTGTATTAGTTACTGTTTATTTTAAAATCAATTAAATCATTCAATCAATCGATAAATAATAATCGATTGTTATTGTTCGATAATATCGTTTCGGAAATCTCAAACTTGATTATTGATGATGATGATTTAGGATCATTATTAAA